TTAACTTTTATCATATCTTTAAATTTTAGCTGTATTCTATTTTGTAATTTTTATTATCTTATAAGTGTAAATAGTTTTTAATTTTTAACTTAGGATAGAAGGCCACTGGTTCGTCAGTTTTTTACTGTTATGTGTTACCCTCTATAAATAAAGTTGTTACTTACTTACTTACTTACTTACTAACTGTTAGCAAGAAGCTTCTTGGCGTTTTCAAGCTCAATGAGTCACTGCTCAAGTGCATGAAAGTAGACAGGCCTGAAGTAAGCTTGATTTTTGAATAATCATTGGCCAGGAAACGTGGTCAATGACTGTGTATTGTTTGTTTTTCAATGAGTATAACTAGACCTGTAGATTTTCATACAAGCAACACCTTTTTTTGGAATTAGGTTCTATAAAAGTGTGGGATTTCGGCAGTGGGCAGCTGTATAAGAAGTATCCAGATGAACAGACCAAGAAGCGTCATGAAGACACTGTAACCGGGCTGGCTTATCACACAATCTACAACAAGAGGTGCTTGCTGGCCTCCTCATGGGGGAACAAGATACGAATCATGGAGGTTAGAGAACGTTTTAGACAAGAACAATGGACCCGTTGTAATAAAATCCATAAATTGACAAGCACTGGGTCGTATTTTGCTTAAAAGGCTTTTTTGAGGGTACCCCCGATATTTCAGTAGGGGAAGGATGAAAGATATGTTTGAGAAGTGTACATACAATGTAACTGGAAAGTGTCAATGAACATGTTGTTTTAAGCAACATTTAAATATCCGTTGAGTAACACCTTGCATTTCTCATAACTAACGGAGTGGATATCCTTTGCTGCTGCTACAGTTACTCTTGTTTTTGCTTCTGAGTTAATGTTAAAAATTTGATTTTCACCTGCTTTTTCCACAGGACCCGGCTGAAGTAGCAACTCTTATTGAACTGAAGGTTTTGAGCGATCTCTTTGTCCCACCAGAACCCTCGCATAATGACAAAGGTAATACTCTATACACGCGCGTAGGAGACACTTTTCGCTTCATGTCTTTTGGTCATCTACATTTACCTCCTATTTCCTCTATTATGCATTTAGACAAGTCTTTCTCGCCATGAGGAAGCCCAAAATGAGCGAACCGAAATCATACACTTTGTCTTGCCATTGTTTTGTTGTTAACGAGAGCATTGATCATAATCTTGAACTCTTAGTGTAAGTGGTCTGAACTCTTTGGCTCCTGGAGAACTCTCTGGCCGCATTTAGTGGCCTAAAAGGAGCAGCCCGCATGTTTACGTGAAATATTGCTTCTGTTTGATGTTTGCAGATGAACAAGGACCTTTTATTTCAAGAGCTCCGCTACCCACCATTGGAGAAACCCAGGAGGTCAAATCAAGCAATGAAGTAAGCCTTAATTCGTTAGTAATGTAGCTTTCTTTTGCCAATAACAATTGTTCCTCTCGCTCAGTGTAACATTAAACCTTGCAGTGCATATTTTGAGACTGGTTTTGACTCATTGAAGGTGACACGTTTTAAGAAGCAGGCCGGCGGCAGTGTCATATTAACAATTCAAATCATGGATTTACCGGTCACTTAGCTAAACATTTGGCTGTCATCGTTGATTTAGTTGTCTTTGTGCTTCGTTTCAAAGTCTCAACTGTTTTCTGGTACTAATTTCAGGAACATGTCCTTTCGCTCTGTGAAGTGACTTGTCTGGAACACGTGTCGCCTTTGCTCTTCGCTGGTACAACTAGTGGAGCAGTGATCATGTGGAATTTGGAGACAGAGAAAATCGTCTTAAGGTTAGCCAGTTCTTCGGTTGACTTTGACAACTACTGCAAACTGAAAGTCCCTTCTGCCTAAAGCCTCAAATACGCTCCATAGCCTCAGTGATGTTACTTGTTAAATATTGTCCGAAACAGCAAAACGACCAACTAATAGCCTTACCTAGAAAGTGACCGCTTTCCAATTGTACAGAATAATCAACATCAGTAGGAAATTCCCATTGGACATTTTTTTAGGTTAAAAGGAGTACCTTCAGATGTATTTTCTTCTCTCTTTGATTGGAATAACGCTGTATCATTTGCGTCGTCTTGCGGGAGAAACTCAACTCTGACAAATGGGGCGTCCTGTTCCATTTTCAAACATTTCCATGTTTGTGGAAGAATAGTACTGTTCTGTTTGGTGGAAGTCTTTAACGGTGATATCCACCCAATTACAAAGCATATGCATTGTTCCATGTTTGAGCCTCAGGTATATGCAGTCAGTTCCGTGCAGCACTTTCGATTTTGAGTGAACATGAATACAAACAAAGCATCGTTGCTCACTTATAGGTCTTTACATTTTCATTTTATTTAGACTCTTTCTAGTTTTTTTCGATGAGGTCGCTGCTTTCTGTAGTACTTCCTTAGTATCGGTTTATCAACTCTTCAAGAGTCTTCCTGTCCACTTTGTCTGCAGGTGTGAACCGCCAAGATCTAGAAGTGCAAACAGTAGCAAGCACAGGCGCAATCACCGAGATGATCAGCTGGTGTACCGATGCCTCTACCTTGTTCATCGTGTCAGGAAACCAGTCATATATGGCAAAGGGTATAATTTTTTTTTTATTGCAATAACATTACATTACATACAAAAATTACCTGCTCTTCTTACAATGTTAACGTAACTTACAGTTTAACGATACTAACAGAACTTACAAGAGGGAAGATATTTGTTTACAAACATTGTTTTTGTCATTTAAATGTTCAAAACATTAAACTATTTAATTCTTTGTTTCACCAACCAATAGTTCTCTGGTTGGCATATTAATAACAATAGGTGACGTCACTGATATCTTTGCTATACTAACAGTATTTACAATTTATTAATGTCTCACATTACTTTCATGTAGGGCGTTAGCTACTATAGGAGGCTTTCTCGCATATTAATTTGTGACTTAGATTTATGTTTCCCAATTTTAATTTTGTTTGTCAAAATCGCTAAGAAGGCATCGGAATAAAACGGGTTGTCATATTCGAATCTTAATAAATTGGTTTGATTGAAATGGGAGAATTTTTCGGTAATGTCAAAGCCACCGGTGTAACTAACGTTAGAATTTGGGTATGTAAATTGTTATAAAATCTTCTGTAGTTGGCTGTAAGAAGAAAGCTATTAGACCTAATTGGGTACTCATTCCTGATATGTAAACGAAAGTCGACACTTTAAAATACAACCTCCCTAAACACAAATAAATGAAAAAGTGCCAGCATGAATTTATCGGGTATAATTAATCACTGTAGACTATATGTACGTTATAGATTTTAGACATTGTAATAATGTTTGTGCTTTAGAGCTTGGCCAAACAGGGAAATATTTCTGTTGTACCAGAGAAAAATATAACATGCCAAGAGAGGGGCCTACTTTCGCTTTGAACTTAAAAAAAAAGACCGACTTGGGCCTTGTTTATGTATAGGTAAAGTATAGGTATGGGGTATAGGTAAATCATTGATAACGTATTAAGAACCTATCTATACATATACTTTACCTGTACATAAACGGGGCTTAAGGCGGTCCCTCCATAACTACTTTAACATTGATCGTTGAGAGACTTTATTTTTATATGACCCTTCTCTTTCACACAGCAATACCAACTACCAAGTGTTAGATAATCAAAGAGATCAAATCAGTGCTAATGAAGGAGAGGCAAGTGACACTCGTACTGAAGAGCAGAATGGAATTTCAGTCAAAGACGGAAGAGTAAAGACTGATCATACAAATCAGGAGCAGATGGAAGAAGAGCGCGAGGATAAAGAAAACAAAGAAAATGGCGAAGACGAGGGGGAGCACAGAGAGGAAGAGACCGAGGAACATGGCAACAAAAATGATAACGAGAATGCGCACGACGACGAAAAGGAAGGTGGAGTCAATGAAGAAGCTGTGTTTGGCGCGTTTTTACAAGTTAGTGAGCCAGCGTTAGTGTCTTCTCATCATGACGGGTTTCTACGCTTCTGGAATTTATCGGTGAGTTTGTGGCGAAGCAAAATGCCGTCATCAACCGACCGATGGCGTTTTTTTTTTTTTTTACTAGACTCTAAAGATACCTTCATATCCTAACCGGTTTAGCGCTGAGCTCATCTTTGATAGCTTGTGTAATTTTACAAGACTTTCTTCACCACTAAGACGATTATCAGGACGTAACACGAAATACTCTAGTACGAACATTGTTACATGTACGAGTTCTAAGAACACAGGGAAAAAAAATAATTACGTTCTGCGAAGCTTGTACCACCTATTCCACCATTCCAAACCACGAGTTTTCGTTCTCGGAAACTTCAAAGCTCTGGTGTTACCACTGAATCACAATAGAAGTGCAAAGTGCTTATGCCTTTCAACACTAAGGTCTCTAAGTATCGATTCTCCTCAGTGGTCGGAATTTTCAATGTTTGTGCTGAGAAGTTGGTGGTATACAGGTACGTCAACACGATACACGCATGGTTAATTGATGTTTTTCTTTATTCTCATTAGCTATCCGCTTGGTAATGATATTGATATTGTAAGGAGAAATAAGATGTTGTTGAGACTCATTGCGAGCCAAACGACTAAGAAGTGTTTGCTATGCTTTAGGGAACACTGTTATCAGAGATACGTGCGATAACCAGAAGGCAGGCATCAGCAGTGACAGCTATGTGCACAGATCCAGACTGCAACTTTGTTATCAGCGGAGATGCAAGTAAGACAAGTAGCATGTCAGGGCCTCTAAAGACTGCTTTGTTTGTACTTTGCGTTTCTGACCTTGACTGTGACATTCAGTAGATAGTACATTAGGTTTTCGTGTGTTTAGGGGCATGAGAACGTGTTTTTGTCATGAACCGCGAATCTGTTATTTTCATGGAATAGAATGGAACCATAAGAATAGGCTAAAAAATTGCAGTCGAACCAGACTTACCACGATAGTGCAGGTTGGAAGTTGCACGGGGAAGGAGTTGCCCTTGGAGCCCTTTAGTTCAAAAGTTGCCTTGAGATCAAAAGGAACATTTTTTTACGACCAAAAATAGTAGACTATTTTGGTAACAGTGGGCGTGAAAGAAAACGAAAAATTGACCATGTTTTGTCAAGACGTGCGCTCTGACTTGTCTCCTCTTTGAGGTGGTTGAACTCTACGTGCTCAGTTTGTTTATCTATAAGTTTTCAACCCTCTATCATCCGTTCTAAAACTGTTATAACATGCCATAGCTAATCCCTTTTTAGAACTGTTGAGGTCGCTTATCGTATATTCTGTCCAGGGGGCTACATCACTGTGTGGGATGTTGGCAACTTTCTTCTCGATCCTCCATCCGAGAAAAGTGATGGAGACCACCGGGAAGATGAACAGGAAAGTAACAAGGAGGAAAGCAAAAAAGAACCCAAGGTAAATTGCTTATCACATCTCTCCGCTCCTTTTTTCCCCCAGTCACAGTGGCAAAAGGTTGGTAAGGAAACCACAAATTTTTTGCAACACAAGCTTTACGAAATATTGCCTGCAGAAAGGGTTACATAAAGTAGACTCGAGTTCTTCTCTCCGCTTCGATCAGTGCCACGAAAACGTTGCGAGGCATGTTAACTGTAGAAGATGTTAAACGAGGCAACGTCTCGTGCAACGTGTGTTAGAACAGTGCAACAAATTGTAAGATACGTCGCAAGAGCAATTGCTCAGTGTAACAGCACCTCACTTAAGCAGCACGTAAAGTACAGTTATACAAAATTAATAGATGTCTGAATTGACCACTCCTCCAATAGGGCTTTTGAGGGCCAATAGAAACAAACAGGGAAACAAATAATATGGATAAACATAACGTGGTTAAAGATTCCAATTGGCGGGAGGCGGATCAGATTTTACAAGAGTGGCCGAATAGCAACCTGTCATCATCAGAAGCTTTAGTCACCCTCGAATTTACAGAGTAACATTGCTGAACCCGCGACCTCCGGATTTCAAGTCCGGCGCCCTAACCGCTTGGCCACGCTCCTCTTACAGTTCTGACCGCTTTCTATGTAGTACTTTCCCTATTGAGCTATTTCACTCATTCAGTACTGTTAACCTAATACTTAACCTTGTGTTTCTAGAATGTAATCAAGCAGATCGTTTGCTGGCGAGGGCACCTCACTCGTGTTGTTGGACTGGAGCACGTGCAAAGTGCTGACGTCATCGTGTCTGCGTCAACTGACTGTTCTGTAAGGTACATGTACATTCATTGAGGTTAAGCACTCTACACAGTTGAGAGCTTTAAAGGCTTCCCCCACTGACCAGCGTACTATCTGTATCAGTTATCGGTAGCTATTCATATACTGTAAAAGTTACCTCTCATGCCGTGGCCATTGTCCTCGGCTATTGTCCTTGGGTTGTACTCTCTTACTCTGACAGTGCCACTCTCCATCCAGGAGTAAAGAAGGAGGAGGTGCGAAACGTGTTCATGTTTTCATGCTACAAAAACTGTCGCAACTGTAGCTGACCAGATGCTACGTTTGGCAATAGACCAACGGACTAAGTTCATTGGTTTCGTTCGTTCGTTCGTTCGTTCGTTCGTTCGTTCGTTCGTTCGTTCGTTCGTTCGTTCGTTCGTTCGTTCGTTCGTTCGTTCGTTCGTTCGTTCGTTCGTTCGTTCGTCCGTTGTTTCGTTCATTCGGTCGTCCGTTCTTTCGTTCGTTTATTCCTGTTCTCGTTTTTTTTTGTTTTTGTTTTTTGTTTTTACTTTTTTTTTTGTTTGTTTTGTTTTTCTTCTTTTTCATTCCAGTTGGCAACGCTTTTCTACGCTCAGTATGGACTAGCGCGTCTTGTTTTGGTGGTTGATAGTGATGAATCATGTAGCGAAGCATTGAGTTTACCGAGCTAGGAAAATCCCTGAGAACGTAAATAAGCGGTTAGCTTGACAGCCGTGGCTTTTAATAATCAATCGTCGTTTCTTTGTTTTTCTCCTCAGGGTGTGGTATCGTAATACAGGTCATTTTATTGGCTTTTTTAGTCAGCCTCGTCTGTGGCATATGCCATCTTCCAAGTCTGTTCCCTCCACACCAGTCAAACCCTACGACATCTCAGAGGTTAGCTGTTCATCTCACAACTGTATTGAATGTCTCAGGCATGCATACTCCTCACAGGGAGGGGAAGGATAGTGTCAAGTTTTCAATTACGCCAGTGTGTTCATGTTACTACAAAAAAGGTGTACTGTTATGAGCGGTGTAATTTTGTTAATCATTTTTACAGAATAAACTAAAAACAATAGAAAACAGTTTAAGCTAATTTAGTTGCAAAATACGGTAGTTAGTTGTTGTATCATTGTGTGATGCACTTTGAGCTCAAATCAAAACAAAGAGTAAAAAAGCAATGCGAAAAGTTAAGCTTTTATAAGAAGTCAGGGCGTTTCTTTCGTAGCAGAAACAGTCGCCTGCAATTTGAACAATAATTTTGATTGTAACAATTAGTTTTGTTTCATTCTAAGTTTGACTAACTGGTTTAATTTTCAGGGCCCTATTAAAACGTTAAAAAACGTAGCCACCAAGGCAGTCCAGAAGACAACTGACAGCGGTGTGGATTGCCCGCTCATGTTCGATGACACAAGGTAGCACAGTTATGTTGTGAACCGTTACCCGTTTCCGCGTGTGACCTCTCTAAGAACAGAGTGAGGCTGCGGACTGCCTTTTTCATTAGGGTAGTGTCTAAGTAGCAATCATTATCATCAGCAACATCTTTTATTTGCCACACAGTAAATACGTTTTATGCAATTCGTGATTTATGCTAAGGGAACTGCTTTCAAAGGTAAAGATTGTTTTCACCTGCCTAACTAACGACAAAATAGAGCACCTAGGAAACAGCTGAGATAAAGGAACCACATTGGCAGCAGCCCTTTGGCTTTTTGTGATTTTGTTTCTTTGTAGTCATGCTTGGATCATGAGTGAGCGTGTTGCAACTTATTGGAGTTCTTTAAAGCCTATTTTGGTGGTTTAAGTAACTTTAGTGGGCTTGATACAACGGTAAATTTTTTTTTTTCTTTTTTTTTTTGGCGTTCTTACTCGTCATACTTGACTGACTACGGACAAAGACTGGCTGCTCGTAGTGTAATTGACTGTCCGACCGATTAACCGACTGACCGATCAACCGATTCACTGACCGAGAGGCCGACGAACTAACCGACTGACCGAACGACCGACTAATTCATGCTTTTATCGTACTATTCACTGATGAATTTTTCTTTTAAGAGTAAGTGATTGATTAAATTTACATTAATTATTGACCTATTTAGTCATTGTATGTCTGCTGATACTGGTACATTAAAATGTTTAATAGCTTGTTCAATATCCGATTACTCTGCAGATGGCTGCCGTTCAGACATTCCGCCCAAAAAGAAACAAAACCCAAAGGCGACAACAAGAAATTCTTTGATTCTCTATCAAAACCAAAGGTAGATATAACACTTCGATCTTCCCAGTTGTTCCCTTCATTTCTGTACAGCCCTCGTTACAAATGTCTCAGCGTTTTGATCCCACGTCATCTAACACATTTTAGGGTGGACATTTTGGAGCTGTCTAATTACCCTGAAAGAACGTGTTAGATGAAAGTTTGCCTCAGGTCAGACTTTTACTCATCATGTTCCAAATTTTGAAAAACAGCATTGCGTTATAACAAGGCCCAGTAGGAAGGGATCGCAATGTAGGAACTGTCTAACCAGTGCTTATGGCGTACTTTCCTTTATCCTGCAGTGTCGCCTTTAAGTTTCCCTTTCTGTCCCGTCATTTTCCCACACTTCGTTAACCCTGTAACCAAGGTGAAATGTTACTTATACGATATGCAATTACACTTTCGAATCGCGATTTCAATATCCCGATTCTCCTATCCAGTGATCGTACATTTCTTCTGGTGCTACTTGGGGGGGATTGAGTTCAACGTCCTCTTGATGATTAATTCCTATATTCTTATGTACCTTACTTTCTTTCATAATGATTTTCGCGGAAATTAAATGTTGATCAAGGAGGGCTGGAAGATTACTTGTGGTTCAAGAATTATTTTAAAGGACGTCACTCCATAAAACGTATATTTTTTTCAACGATAATAATAACCTCGCACTAAGTTTAGCCACTCACCGAAGGTTCAGCCTCTAAAGTGCAGGTTTTCCTTATGAAATTCGTCTCCTAAGAGGCCCGACATTCGTTGCCGCCATTTTGAACAGTATTCAGCAGCCAGGCCGCGTTTTCGTGACGTTATTCCGTCCAATAGATTTTGTCCGAATGGCTTCCGACAAGCCTTTTAACTACCACTCTGGGGTTACGGCTGCTCTTGAACCGTATTACTTTGAGCTTTTTGGAGTGACCTTCTCCTTATTAAAAACAATTCACGGTTCACGTGCTATTTTTTTGCAGCATTACAACTCTCACCTGGAGAGTACGAGTTCAGGATCCCCAGAGACTGGGGCGGTGTACAGAGCACTTCCGGTGTACAAGGTAGGTAGTGATCAGTTGAATTGTAGGCATTTTTGTGCTCAGCCAGAGGTTTTACTTCTTCTTATCAACTGCAACATAACAGATCACAATTTTTTGAGTGGCCAGTTGGTCTAGCGTTCAGGCTAGCCAGTCAGTCTTTTTGTCAGTTATGCCATAACTGACAAAGAGAATCTGTTAATCTGTCAGTTGCGCGGTTGGGTGAGCAGGCGGTCAGTAGGTTGTTAGCCTCTTTTGTTTGACTGTCTGTAAGTAGATGGTCAGTTAGCCAATCATTAAGAAGACTGTCAACTTTGTTAATTATTTTAGAATGTTTTGTAGATTGAGACTCCAGAAAGACTTAAGACACCAGCCATTAACATGCAGTCATCATGGCTCACAAATCAGGCACAGAACCAAAAGGTAACTCTTGCGCTTTTGTCTGACTTTTCATTACGTTTGCGGTACAGTCTGTTATATATAATGTGAATTTATAGACCAAAGTCTGTGACTCGGGTCTGGCTCTGGCTCTGGTTCTGTGAAGGGTAAGGTCAGAGCAACATCAACAATAATGAAAACAAAGGGAAGGGAAATAAGAACTAAAGAGAAAAAAAGAAGTATGTTAAATAGATCCCAATTTTGGACTTGTAAACAGAATCAGCTTGTACTTTTTCATGTGTACTGAGTAAGTAATTGTTTTAAAACAGTTGCTGCATTTGATTTGTTGCCTCTCTCTCACTGTTCTCTCGTTACCTCATTCTAACAGGGGCATGGTAACAAGTCCACATTTGCTTATAGATCATCGTCTTCAACTCGGGTAAGTTCATGTAATGTACTCAGAAAGACGCCTGCACAAAATTCGCACAACTTGTCCTATGATAAATGCATGCAATTCTCTAAGGTGAATTCGATCCCAAGTCAGTCACGAGCGCTTCATTTATGTTAATGCCACTTATACGAGAAAAGTAAGCCGCGGCTTACATAAGACTCAAACTGGACCATTTATACGAGCGCGGCTTATGATAAGACGCGAAGTGATCGTATAAACGGTTCACGGCTTATTGGTGACTAATTAATGCCTCGCTTTTGTGTTGGTTGTCACAGCAATTGCGAATTTGCGCCAGCTCTCGCGCGAGCGCGGGAAAAATTGCGCTTGCGCAGTGCGAGCTCGTGTTTTACGTAAGCCTCAAACAAGCCGCGATACCATTTATACGATTGGTTTCGCGTCGTCTTATATAATCCGTGCCCATCAACTGATCTTTTTGAGCCGTTGCTAAGGAAAATTTATTCTCATTTAACCTCGTCATTTTTAGTTAGTTCAGAGTTATTTGATGTGTTTTACCTTTTTCATGATCAGTAACACTAGTGATGATGTCATCAGGCCACGCCCATGGTCATTTAACTAATACTGAAAAAATGCAAAGGCTCCTAGGCAAATTACTTTATCGAGATTTTTTTCAGTGATTTAATATTTTAATTTAACTCTTCATTACGCTATGGACAGATTTTGTTTCATTTCTAACAAGTCAGATTTTGAGAGAATTTCAAAATATTGAAAACTTCGTAATTTTCTGAAAAAAGCATGATTTCGATAAAGGAATGCATAGCTATATTTCCAACCTTGGTTTTAATCGAAATTCGTCGTAAAAGGCTGGATATAATGAAAAACTGCGTTTCCTTTAGCATTTAAAGAAACCGGAAGAGCGCGCGACATATATTGGAAGTTACCCCTATCAGCGCGTGCACAATTCACACTACCAGTGCACTTCGGTAAGATCGAACGAAACCACACGGAGTTAGTTTTTCTCTTTCTGTTGCTCTTGTTTTTCTGTCTTGCTTTTATTTTGTCTTTGCTTGTACTTTTTTTTACTTTGCATTTTGTGAAACACAAAGAAAAACATCTAAAATGTAAGCGAATTTGCAAGTTATTGAGTAAAACCCTAGTCTTACACAAGCCGCGGCTTATGTTATCCGCGGCTTGTGTGAGACGTGAACTGGTTAAAATGTACCGTTTATGAGATAAGTTCGCGTCTTATGTAAGCCTCGGCTTGTGTAAGCCGCGGTTTATTTTCCTCGTATGAATGGCCTTATTGTGTTCAGCAAAGGATAAGTTAATGAAGAGAACGACAACGATCAAGTCTGGCATATTTTCTTGATGTAACGCCAAAATCTTACAACTAACCTAAAAATGATGTGTAACAATCAGTAACGAGAATTTCAACATCGAGCTCGGAACTGAAGCATTAGATAATCCTGGGAATGGACTCCTTGTAAGGTACCCTTTCACGCTTTCACACATCCGCCACGAGGAATAGACAAAGGGATGGACAAATAAAATTGAATTTGATTTTACTCCTAGAAACGAGTAGCCTTCTCATTTACACGCCCATTCTCTAAACTCTAACATCCTCCCCACTACTCCTCTTGATATTCTGTAAATGAGATTAAAAGGTGGATCCAAAATAGTAGTCCCTAAGATAACATTGACAATCAGGTATCCATGTTTTATTCCCATCAGGAGCCTGTGGTGTCAAGATTTCCACACATTGTGCAAGGTCACAAGAGATAACACAAGAGCAGGGGGGCCTCCCCCTCCCCCGCCCCCCAGCGCCATTGCCTCACCCGGATAAGAGACATGTCATCCCCAGTCTGCTAAGATGGTCCGTTTCACAGTCGTTTTTTTATCGTAACGTCTCCGCTTGGGATGAATCATGATAAGTGATGTTTTAGAAGGAATCTCTGTTATTTATCCCTCCTCCGTATCGGCTAAAGATATTTAGTAGAATTCTACTTGTACGTTTATGCAAACGCTGCAATCTGATGGGCCGAGCTACGGTACACTATCAGTCATTGGTTTGAAGTGGCTCGAGGTCGTCCACATAGCAATGATGTTTTCTCGTTTCTGCAAAGTTTTGGTGGACGATTTAGAAGAAAGTACTGGATAATTCAATTCTGAGAAGACTAAAAGACGGACATTGACCCATAATGCTCCTTGGAAAACTCAAAAAGTTCTTATGGCATTGATGATACAGATGGTTGACAGGCCAAACACGACTCCTGTTGATCAAGATAGGAGAACTTTGACCTTCAAAGCTTTGCTCTAACGAGTACATTTTTCAAAATTTATTTTTAAAGTTGGCTTGATAGCTTCACTGGATTCATTGGCTAGCGCGACACCTGTACCACAGAGGTCGTGGGTTCGATTCCGTTTAAAACTGCCGAATATCTGTAAGTAACTACATTGATCTCTCATGTCTTGGCAAGCTAGAAAGGAGG